TTATAAGCTTCTAGCTTTCACAAACATATCAAAAAAGTGTACCGTAACGTATCTCTCTTCAATGAACGCTTCATGTAATCATGAAGGGTAGTTCGCAGCCACATGATTATCCACAATCCTGCCTTATTACGTTTTGCGCAATTAGGAGTGCTCTTTTGTTAGCACTTCACAGTTCTTTAGGAAGCCTCCGAAAAGGATTTAAGGCTTCCAAAATAATTTCTGATTGGTATTTGAAAGAAGGCCAAACCAGAGGTTGAGAAACCGCTTCAAGAAGGTCTTTTGTCTAGACTGCGAATATGACCCTTCTTATCTTAAGACTTCTAATACTTTCGATAGCCCATAGCCAACAACTCAGTTCAACATCATTTCTGGAATTAATAGAGCTAAAGGCTCTTCTGCTATGGAGTAGGGACTTTACTTCTGAATTTCTCAAAACCCACGCTGCACCAACCAGTTATAACCAAAATATGTTTTAGTTCAAAATATAAATATAAGATTACTTTGGAGGAGGGTCTTATCGCAAGCGCTCAACTCGTGCGTTCCATTAACAAAGACTACAAAGTTATGAGCAAAAACCAAATCAATCATCTCTCTTCGCTGCCACTACGCAAACAAGTTTTGTCATCTTTTCATATGTATTGGTTTATTACTCTCATGGATCCCATTTATTTATTTCATTTCTGCAGTGTTTTAGATCAGTATTGTTTTATATACATTTTTCCTTGTTTGTCCACCAAAATTACATCTCAACAACCAAACAAAAGAAAAAACCTAATGTAGAAACGTTCCAAATTTTCCACATTAAGTTTTATAAATGTTTGGAAAATTTTGATCATGTTCACTAAATTAATTTTTGAGAAATGCCCATTTTGGTCTACCCTTTTTAAAAATACCTCTCTTTTCTATCCATTTTCAAAATACCCTTTTTCAAATATGAAAAATTATAAATTATTATATGATTGATAAGGTACATCAAGATCATCATTACTACTGGGAGACTAAATCCAAATATTTATAAGGTTTTAAAAGGTTCTAAACGGCATTTATAATGTTTTTATAAGGTTTTTAAAAGGTTTACAAGGTTTTTAAACTATTTTTAAAAGGTATTTATACGGTATTTATAAAATATATATGTAAATTTACACACATATAAAGATAATTTGTGTCTTTAAATATAAGCTTACACATAGTTTTTTGATAAATTTTAAAATTTATAGTGATTTTTTGATAAAATTAGAAAGAATGTTATTTTTAAAAAGTGGTATTGGAAAATGGGTATTTTTGAAATTCTTCCTTAATTTTATCGTATTTTCAAAATTTAAGATGTTTGTAATAGTTTTAGGAGAGTAAAATATGCACCTATATATTTTTAAAAATTATTAAAAGAATTTTAAATATATTTTATAACTAACGTTAAAACGGTCAGATATTTATTCCTAAAATAGTAGTATCAAATTAAAGAAATTAAAATATTAAAAAAAAAAGAGAGAGAGAGAAATAATTGGGGGAAGTTCAATAATTACCCTCTCGTGGAGGAACATAGCACGATGAGAGACAGCGAGAGCCCTGCCTTGTCTTCCTTCCCCCCTCCTTCCATCTATTTTTATGCTTTTCTCAAAAGGATTCTTACAGATTTTGCCGGGACAAATTTTACGAACGTACCATTTTGACTAAAATCTTATAAATTTGCTATTTTTAAACTTTAAAAATGTTTATTTTTCGTTTTTTTTTTTGCAAAAAAAATATTTTATAATAAATACTAAACTCTAAAGACAATTAAAACCGACTAAACCTAAACATAACGAATAAAATAAGTATTTAATCACATTTTTCTAATTTGAAAAATGACAAATCCATAAAATTTTACAAAAAAAATAGCAAAACCAAAGATGCCATAGCAAAAAGTCTTCAATGATTAATTGACTCTTCTCAAAATTCATCCATTTGCTTACACAACTTAATTTTATTTGCAAAACTACTACTATTTCACAACTTCTCATTTTTTAATTTTCTCATTTTTTATCACATAATTTTTGTTTGCTTTTATATGCTTCACTTCAAATTGTGTGCTCAATTTAAAATTCTACTAATAGTTTTTTCATATTTAGCTAATCGATACATTGGTATAGAGATAAACAGAAGTGGTAAGAAATAGGAAGGTGTGGGCAAATGATTCCCCAACCACCGCCGAAATAGTTTTTCAATTTTCCCAAAAAAAGAATGATATCATAAAGTTCAGATCCAAAGATATATACAAATATACAATGCATTTATAATTAAATATTTACTATAATATAATATTTTGGTCCACCTTATCTTATACGATTACTATATTCGTATTAAATTTGTAATTATTGTATCTTTATTATAAACATATATATAAATAGCAAAATGTCGCAATCAAATATCATTTTCGTCATCATTTTTTTTTCTGTCAACCAATATTGTCATCATTTCTCTACTTGTAAATTTTTTGTTGTTGTCAATCATTTCTACTAGTTATTTAATTCATCACTAGTAGTCTATGAGACTCTATGCTATATAATATTAACATTTTTATCAGAAAAACTATATTTTTATATTTTTGACACAAATGTTAGATAATAGTTACTGATTTTAAGCTTCGAATTGTTTAAACTGAATTCAAGTATTCATTCAAATCTATCTACATATATATATATATATATATATATTTACTCTTAAAACATAAAACTATTATATGATGATCGGATCAGATCTTATAAACCTACTAACTGTAGTCTGTACTTTGTACAGTTGTACTTATAATGACGTCAATGTATTATTATCCAAAATTTGAAGTAATGAATATTGATATTATTGCATGTCATAACAAAAACAAACGATATGCTATATAATCACTATTGGGAGACTGTTAATTAGTATTGCTTAAAATAATACATGTTGAGCTTACGGTATGGTACGTGCAAGTGTGAGTGCGACCTAATAAAGTATTATTAGGGTGTGATTATCTGAAAAGAGCATTGTCTTATGCAAATGATTAATGTGTTATTGGTATATAGATATGGTTATCGTTTCCTTAAACCCAACACGCTAATTTTAATATTTAAAGCTAATAGTATTGGTATTAACTAGTACTAATATACTAATCTCTGATAATGACAAAGCGGTTATTTTATTCATCTAATTATACACCTTTTATTACAAAGCTAGCTACCAAATCTGATTATAAAGATCATCAAGTAGTAGAGTATGATTTTTTTTCTCTAAATAATTTGTAATATTGTTATCGGTAATTAACAATTTAATAATCCCCCCTCTTCCCTTAATTAAAACCCTAAAAACTTTAGTCTCGATATGTTTTAGTTCTTATACACTTCCTACAAGATCATAATTTTGGTAGATAAAGAAAGTTCTATATCCGCACGAGCATAGTAGAGTCTGTCTATAAAACCAGATATGATCATTTTCAGAATATATTGCATATAACATAAATTTTCTACTATCAATCTAAAAAATGGGGGAAATATATTGTTATATAATCAAATAGTTATCTTATGACTTATCATCGGGAATATTAGAGTAATTGTATATGTTTTGTGTGTTTTCATTTGAATGTTATTTTGATAGTTGTAAATCAAAATATTGTTTTCGATGTTTACAAAACAAATTTAGCGCATAACACATATATAACCGCAAACGTTGTATCAATAATATATATGGAAACAAATATATGTATGTATATTATTATGTCTAGATCTGAATAAAGCATATTATAATTTAAATTGGGTCTCATAAATCATTGAGGTTTCCAACTTCTGTCTTAATAATAGTTTGTCCCCACAAAGCGCAAGGAGTCCATATCTCTGATCCTCTTTGTTCTTTCTCCTCTACTTGGATTTATAAAACTTACAATATAATTTCCACATATCAATGATGATAAAATGTTTACATTTTGATAGATTTAACATGAAAACAGGAAGAGAGATATATATACAATTAAGCTAATTAAAAACACTAGCTCTAATTAATTCAAACTTGGGTCCAATAATATTTCTCTTCTTCATAACTAGATGTTGAATGGGGGATAAAATATTTTGTTTAAATCTTTTAAAGTACTATATTCTAAAAGTAAAATAAACAATATTTATACTATCTTTATATTAAAAATTAAAGAGAAAATTCAAGATAAAAACAAAAATCTCAGTGAGGGCAAAAAAAAAGAAAGAAAAATCTATCCCAAATTATAATATTATATCCATGAAGAGTTGATGATAATGCCGTTTTACAGTACGGATGGTAATGAAAAAGAAGGAGACTGATTATATTAATTAAAGAAGACACACTGTCATCATCTTTACTCACACATATTTTTGTTTTTATTGTTCAAATTCAAAGGTTGCACAAGTTTCAATCCACACAGGCACACACTACACATAATAAATATTTTTACAACTAGATAGAGAAGAAAAAAGAAGAAGAAGACTTTTATCTTATATATATAATTTATAACTTGGTTAAAGTTAGTTGATACAATAGTAAATGCGACACTCTGAGAGAGTCACGAAGAGGCAAAAAAAAAAAAAAAAACCAAACTCCAAAGTGAGACAAAAGGACAAGAACACAAAGAAGAAGAAAGGAAAGAAATTTTATCACATTCTCTAAAAAAAAGGCACGAAATTTTATAAAAATCGACTCAGACAACTTTTTTTTTCTTTTTTTCGACTGAATAATGCATTATAAACTTCAATAGAGATATATTTCTATATTAAAGGGTTTATCTCTGTCTGAAGCCTATCCACCTCAATTCTCTAGGTTAGATATGTATATAGGATAACCTGAGACAGTAATATATATAAAGTATATATGTTTATGTTTCTTCAGTGATTAGTAATCCTCTTGGCTCTCTGGGTATTACTACTACACTCCTACTCTTTTGGATCTTTCTGTCTTCTTTCTTTATATTATTACTTATTAATATATATATACATAACCCAGAAGTAGTAGAAAGAAGAAGGAGAAGAAGATAACTTTGTTTTTTTTTTTAATTCTCATCATCATCATCGTCATCTTTGTGGATATAGAGATAGAGAGATATGCATCATTTCGTACCAGACTTCGATACAGATGATGATTATGTCAACAACAACAACACTTGTTCTTCTTCATCTTTGACTCTTCCTAGAAAATCCATTTCTATGTATGTTTCTTTTCATCTTTCTTCTTATGTAAAGTTGCTATTTTTTTTATTTTCAAGATCTGAGTTTATTTTTCTATCTATCTATTTAGGAGAGGTGGTGAAGCAGCTGATGATGATAATGATCTTATGGAGCTTTTATGGCACAACGGTCAAGTTGTTGTTCATAACCAGAGACTTCACCACAACAACAACAACACCAAGAAGCCTTCTCCTTCTCCTTCTCCTACACCAAAGCTTCTTCACCCATCTTCTATGCAGCAGCAACCTCAACCGTCAGATCAGAATCTTTTTATTCAGGAAGATGAGATGTCCTCTTGGCTTCATTATCCTCTCCGTGAAGATGATGACTTCTGCTCAGATCTTCTCTTCTCTTCAGCTTCACCTTCTGTTCCACCCGCACCGACTACTGCTCCCTCTGTCACTGCGGAGAGACAGTTGACGACTCAACCGGTTTCAGCACCGAGACCGCCGGTGCCGTCGTCGTCGCAGAGGCCGCCGGTGAGGAATTTTATGAATTTCTCGAGGCTGAGAGGCGATTTTATTAACGGTAGAGGTGAATCTGGACCGTCGATTTCCAAGGCGGTTGTGAGAGAATCCACGCAGGTGAGTCCTAGCGGCGGTGGTTGTGCGACACCGTCGTCGGCGTTTAGTGAATCTGGTTTAACTCGGCGGACGGATGGTACTGAAAACTGCTCCGCCGTCATAGCTGGAGGCGGATTTAATCGGAAGGGAAAAGCTGTGGCGGCGACGACGAAGATGACGACTACGCCGGCAATTGAGATTCCTGGTACATCTGCTTCTGCGGTGTCGAAGAGCGAAATCGAACCGGAGACGACGGCGGAGAGAAAACGGAAAGAGAGAGAAGCCACTGAGGAAGAAACAGAGTGCCGCAGCGAGGTCAGTCATTAACTATCGTGCGCAGATATGATCTAGCGCATTTTAGTCTGCTTTTATATGTTTCGGCGCATTTTAAATAAATTAATTAACGTTTTTAGTTTGGTGTTTTGTTTTTAACTTGAGGTGCAGGAAACTAAACAAGGACGTGGATCAACAACATCTACCAAGAGATCTCGTGCTGCTGAAGTTCATAATCTCTCTGAAAGGGTACTTTTGTGTGTTTTCTCTCTTTCTTTTTTTGAGTATTCTCTTCTTAACATTAAGATGGAATCTGAAGAGTGTGTGAGGTATTTTGTAACAGAAACGGAGAGATAGGATCAACGAGAGGATGAAAGCTCTGCAAGAACTCATTCCTCGCTGCAACAAGGTCCTTCTTTTTACTCTTTTCACTTTCTCTCTTCTTCAAAGTTATATCTATACATTGATTTGTTGCTGATTTAGTCTTTCTGATTCTCTCAGTCAGACAAAGCTTCCATGCTTGATGAAGCTATTGAGTACATGAAATCTCTACAGCTGCAAATACAGGTCTTTCCTCATACCAAAGCCTTTACCTTTATCAAAAAGTTTAGGAACCAATAGATGATGAAGCCTTTTGTTAAGTCTTTATGTGTCTCTTGTGTTTCAAGTCCATGAAAATTTAATTTTTGTACCTTCCCATGGAAACTCCAGTTTATAACTGAGATTAGTGCAGATGATGTCAATGGGATGTGGTATGATGCCAATGATGTATCCGGGTATGCAACAATACATGCCTCACATGGCCATGGGGATGGGTATGAACCAGCCTCTTCCTCCTCCTTCCTTCATGCCTTTCCCCAATATGTTACCTGCTCAAAGACCACCTTTGCCTACACAAACCCCTATGGGGGACTCTGTATTCTCAGCACCTCAATACCCTGTTCATCCTTCTGACCCATCAAGACTCTTTGTACAGAACCAGCAATGTGATCCAACATCGAGCCAGCCTCAGTATCCGGTTTACATGGATCCCTATCAGCAGTTCCGCAGTGTCCACCCGAGTCAACCACCTCAGTTTCAGGTACTTTACCTCCCATCTATTTCAAACGTAACACTTGTTCTGCTCACAAAAGTCGCAAGGTCTTTATATTTTTTTTATCCTTATAGAATCAAGCAACATCGTACCCAAGTTCAAGCAGGGTAAGTAGTAGCAAGGAATCTGAGGTTCAGGGAAACCACACAAAAGGTTAAAGCCTTGGAGCAGCCAGAGCATCTGTTTTCACAAGCAAACACACACAATTTTGAGAAATTGACAGAGAGACCTAACATGTAAATCGCCATCTCAGATAACGTATCTCGCCTGTTTTTGTTGTTGTTGTTGTTGTTGTTCTCTCTTTCGAGTTTGTAAACTTAGAGAATTGTACATGTCAATATCCAGACATCTAGGAATCAATACATAGAGGTTGCAGAGGATTTAACAGTGAAGAGAATAGATCGAAAGTTAGGTTCATGTACAAACCACAACATCATTCTTTCTTGTCATTTACAAATTTTGACAAAAGCAAGTCTTGATATGCTTCTTCTGAATTCTTGACTAAGCATATCGGTGGTTTTCTGTGGATTTAAGATACAATGCACAAACGAATCCAGCTAAGTGGTTTTCTAAATTGACTTTGCTAAACATTTTGCATTGTATAAAACATTTTGCATTTTGATTTGTTAGGTAATAGTGCATCCTCCTGGCCCTCCAAAGAAGATAGCACTAGACCAGTACTCACCAACCCCTGATCTTGTTTCGACTTTATAACAAGTTGGACTGTTTGAGAATAATACTAAATCTGAAGCTCGTGGACTGTTTGCGAATATTACCATATTTGAAGCTGGTGGACTCGTGTTCTTCTTTTCTGAAACATGATCGATCACTTTAAGTCCATTCACAAAAGCTGCTTTTTTGTAACCCTCTTGTGGGAAATGTCCATTTCCCATGATTGGGCTTGTCCTTTGTCTCACTGCACTATAAACTTCTCCTCCCCAAAATACTCGACTTGCTCCATAAGCTATACCTTCACCATTGAACAATGATCTTGGCCAGTACCCAATAGGCTTGCCTCTTAGCAAAAACCACCAGTTTCCTGTTATATTATCCTGCTTATACAAAAAAGCCACTTATTTATTTGTTGGTTTTATAGAAATTATAACCAAATGAACAACATTTGTAGTCCTTTTGGTTTTGTGTTATGATTTAATGCGATTTTGGTCATATAAACTGAATTTAAACCAAAAATTCATCTATTTGGTTTGGTTCTGATTTGTTGGATTTTCTAAAAAAAATATTCATCTATCTATAAACAATTCTTGTTTTGCATGGTTTAGTTTAACTATTGCAATATGGGTTGGTCGATAATTTTTAAATTGAAGTTTTTATTGGTGAAGATACCAAACTGTCATGTAACTTCCTACTATTTTCATATGTGAGGAATTTGAGAAAATTGGTGCAATATACCTGAAAAATGATGACTCGTAGGATATATTGTTCACCATTATAAGTAGAAACTGGTTTGGCAAGAGTTCCAAGAGCAAATTTGCTACTCACTTGTACAAACCCAGGGCATAACGTATTGTAGCAACCTGTCTTGTTATCCCCATCTGCCTGTCTCCCAATCACAAATTAAGACATTTAATTAACATGTATAGCAGGACCATATGATGAATTACCAAACTTTGGTTATGTCTGAAAGCACTTACGGTCCAATATGTAAACAAACCACTATGATTTTGGTTCACTTTTGGGGACACCTATGGAATATATTTTTTTGACTTTGTTAAGAAATTTCCAAGTAATTTGGGGTTACTTATTTGAATTGTCATGAAATTTCGAAGTAATTTGGTTTTTGACTTACCATTTAGGGTTTGAGTGGCTCTGATACCATGTGAATAAAAGAAGAACAGAGTGTTTTGAGTGAAAATACTTTTTATTAATTCCACTTCATACTTACAAAGAACACAAAGTGTTCATATTTATACTCCTTAGGAACATTCTGGATCCTTGATACAATGTAGGATCTCATTACATCTGTCAATCATCTAGCCACTCTCTTCTGATAGCATAGGACTGAAACGGTTAGATAGTACAATGTTGGGAGAGCCAGCAGGTTTGGTCTGCTGTTCCTTTTGTATAACCTGCAGTTTTGTCTTGTTTTGTTGCAGAGATTGTTGCAGAGAAGAGCTCTGCACATTTGACTTGTTATAATGTTGATGTGGACTGCTGTATGAGGCTTGGGCTTTGCCTTGTTGTTGGACATGAGGCCTTACATTAATACCATCCAGCTGAAATGCTCTGTAAGCTGTCTCTAAGACCGTTCTCGATAGATATACTTGCTAGACTAAGTTGATCAGGTTTGACAGACGGATCCCATATATTTATACTGCCCATTGCTCCATGATTTTCTTTATAGTACTCAGCTATGGCAAACTAATATAATCAAAAGAAGGCAAAAACAAAGATATAAGTGTTAGGGTACTGTTAGGGTCTCAACTATGAGAACAAGAAGTGTTTCTTACATGACGACCAGTCATATCGAAGACGTTTTTGTCTTTTGGATACTTGAATCCTAAGTGTTTCAAACGTTGAATTGGTATAAGATCTTCAAAGTGTAGTTCTTTTAATAATCACTGTCCCAATTGGACAACTTGTGTCGTCATCATCTTGTCGAAACGGCAGAGAACTTGACTTCGGTGAAGTGTCGTTATCTCTTGTCCATTTTGGTATAGATGTAGGCTTCAACTACAAATGCTATGTTAATCCACTAGGAAAAAGAAAAAACAAAGAATCTCTTGATCTTAGCTTTTTACTTGTAGAGTAAACTAAACCTGAATAGAATGGTTCTTGAGCAAAGGGTGATCAAATGCTAGCTGCTTTTGAATGTCGATGCAGTCCAATATATAACCATGTCTCGTCTGTCAAAAACTCAAAAATACAAGGTTAAAAATTTATTGATGTCAATTTCCTTTTCTCCACACAATATATATGTATATGTATATCTTCCAATAATTCTCTAAAAAAAACATTGAAATCTGAAACAATTGAAAGTAACTAACAATTTTTAAAGAAATAATTCTGAAAAATATGTTACCAATCACACTTTAGTTGTTTATAACCACAACCTTTTTCTTGTTCTTGTTTTACCTTTTTATTTTAAAAACCAACTATTTATGACTTTATTTTATTTTCAAACCAAAAGCCTAAATTATTTAAAATCGAAAGTTTAAATTAAAATACTGCATGTAAGTTCAAGTAGCAACCAATCAACCCCAAAGTTTCAATAACAAGAGCCCAAGTAGGTTTACATCATTCACATGCATACTAGATACTACAATACTAGGTTCGGACCCGCGCTACAGCGCGGGGGAAATAATTACATATATATAACTTTTATCGGATTAAAATATGTTACATTTTAATTTTGTTAGAGTGCAGTCGATTACGGTAAATCATATATTTGTATAATAAGTTTAAATAAAATAATAAAGGAAAAAGCGAGTAAATAATCATATACTGAGTTTTGATACAATTAAAAACACGGTGAAAATTTAACAGCACGAAATAATGTTTGTCGATAAATTATTCATTTTGGCCATTTTTGTAGTAAAAGTAGGAATATACGTAAAAATTACATATTTACAATATATTTTTTGAAAGTCCAACCCGTAACAGAATTCATTTCGTAAAAAACATTATTCGTAACTCGTTTTATCATTATAATTGTGATTTTAACAAACTACCCGTGAATTATCTAAAATTTACATATTTTGATATATAATATATTTTATCAATAAAAATTATGTCTCCAAAATTACATTTATATCTTCAAAAAAATATTTCGATATTTTAAATTCTAAAAGTTTTATATATATGAACCTTTTATTTATAATATTTTGAAACTATTTGAAATATTAAATATGCTCATGTAACAATGGTTTTAATATTGGTCATACTTATAATGATTTTAAACCGTTGTCCAAAATATTTAACCGAGTGTAGTTGAGTATTATATGTCCGTTTTGAAAAATTCAAATTGCAATATATGAAAAAGTTAAATTTTTATTAAATATTTATATTATATAGTATAATATCATAAATTAAAAATAATATCAAATAAAAGTGAAAGAAGAATAATATTTTCTAAATAGATTGTATTAAATTAGTTAGAGAAATATTAGTAAATCTTATAATTAGTTATGGAAATATTACAATCCTAAAATTAGATTTGGAAAGTATCCGGTGTATGTATCCAAACCCATTAATCTATCCAATTTTAAAAGATCCAATTACAAATTTCGGGTAATTTTTTGAAATTGACCCGACCCGGAAGCACTTTTTGTACTTCTCTTTTACTAATATAGGGATAAGAACTAACATGGACGGCAACAAAATTAAGAAAAATCATATGACTTCATTGTCTAAAGTACACTATCTCCGTTATATATATCCTACTATATTAATTAAGAAATACACAAATATAAATAACATTAGAAATTATAAGAATTTTCATTGAAATGTCATTAGAAAAAGTTTAAAATGAAAAAAAAATACTGAGAATAATAAAGATAATTAAACAAATAATCAAACAAATGAAATATATAAAACCGCAAAATAATTAAATAAATATATTGTTTGTTTGGATATATAAACATAGATACGGGTTACATAAATATTCAATTAAATAATAACAAAATAAATTATTACAAATTTATATCAAATTTAGTACCTAGTATCACATTATCCATCACTTTTAAGGTATAACTCGCATAAACTGCTTTCTTGAAACCATCTTGTGAACTTAAAGATTTGTTAACTAGTAATTGAGCATCCTCCTGGTCCTCCAAAGAAGATAGCAGTAGACCAATCTTCACCAACACCTGATGCCGTTTGGACGTTATAACAAGCTGGACTGTTTGCAAATAATACTAAATCTGAAGCTGTGGGACTTGTAACTTCTTTTGAAACATGATCTATCACTTTAAGACCATTCACAAAAGCTGCTTTCTTAAAGCCGTCTTGTGGGAAATGTCCACTTCCCATGATTGGGCTTAACCTCTTTTTCACTGAACTAAAAACTTCACCTCCCCAAAATACCCGACTTGCTCCATTTGCTAAACCTTCAGAATGGAACAGTGATTTTGGCCAGTACCCAATTGGCTCGTCTTGTAGCACAAACCACCAATCTCCTGTACAATTATCCTGATTTAACCAATAACAATAGCACTTCATTAGAAGTGGCTACTAATACAATTATAGTCTAGTTTTGTTTTATTTTATTTATGAAGCCAAATCAAAGTACAAACTCTTGATGAATTTTGATTTATGACGCCAAATCGTAGCAAAAACTTATGAAATTTGATTTAAACAATTTTGATTTGTTGAGGTTAAAGCAAAAACTCATAAATTTTGGTTTAAGTAATTTTTTTTATGAGAGTATTTTGAGAAAAACTGGTGCGATATACCTGATGTATGCCGATTTCTAACTGATATTGTTGACCATCATAAATCGAAACAGGTTCGGCAAGACCTCCAAGTGCAAACTTCCTGCTCACTTGCACAAAACCAGGACACAATGTATTGTAGCAACCTGCAGTCTTCTTATATCCATTTGCCTATTTTACATTTAAATAAAAATTAGACAGTTTAGGCTTTTAGCCAATATAATTTATCACCAAAGTTTAAATAATTTTTAGGAACTTACAGTCCAATATGTATATAAGCCACTATGATTCTGGTTCAACTTTGGGGATACCTAGGGAATTTTTTTATTTGTTTTCAATTATATAGATACTCTAAATTATTATGAAATTTGTGTTAAACTATTGGATTTTGACTTACTATCCATCCAGCTGAAATGCTCTGTAATGTATCTTTAAGACCGCTCTCGATTGATATACTTGCTAGACTAAATTGATCATGTTTAAGACTCGGATCCCATATATTAATGTTTCCCTTTGCTCCATAATTATCTTTAAAGTACTGAGCTATCGCAAACTAAGATAATCATAAGGAGAAAAAGACAAACTATAAGCACATGTTAAGGTCTTAGGGTCACAACTATATAAATGAACAAGAAGTGTTTTCTTACATGATGACGGTTCGTACCGAGGGAGTCCATGTCTTTTGAAAATGGATACTTGAACCCTAAGGATTTCAAACGTTGCATTTGTATAAGATCTTCAAGTGTAGCTCTTTTAATAACCACTGTTCCAAGTGGACAACTTATGTCGTCATCTTGTCGAAATGGCAGAGAACTTGACTTTGGTGAAGTGTTGTTATCTCTTGTCCATTTAGGTATAGATGTAGGCTTCAACTACAATTGATATGTCAATCCATTAGGAAAAAAGCAAACAATCTCTTGAATAGCTTTTAATTACTTGTAGAGTAAATTAACTAAACCTGAATAGAATGGTTCTTTAGCAAAGGGTGATCGAAGGCTAGCTGCTTTCGAATGTCGATGCAGTCCAATATATAACCATGTTTCGTCTGTTGAAATACAGAGTAAAAAGTAATTTATTTTTATTGTTGCTCTCTAAAATAGACACGATCATGATCATCAGTCCAAAAATAACATACTACGTACATTCCAAAATGCAAAATATTTTTGGTTCTAAACATTAGCATAGTTGTACAGCATCAAATTTGTTTAGATCCTAAACAAAAATGAAAGAATATTAATGTATTATTGAAATATGTTTTTTTTTTTTGGTTTCTTTCCTACACTGTCATAATATATATAACTGAGCTACTTCATTTATTTTCTTACTATATAAATTACTATACATTTCATATAAATTTTTTTTGTTCATATTAAAATATGCTTTTAAACAATTAACCATATCACAGAGCATATCAATAGAAAGATAATAAAATTTTTAATGTTCAACATTTTTTTTTTGTTTGAGAATCACATAAAAAGTTAAAACTTACTTGAAAACTTTTTACCACAGGTTTGTTAATATGGTTGAGTAGTTTCTCTAGCTCTTTTGTCCCCTCTTCTGATGGTATTGTTCTTCGGCTCTCAGTAACCAAAATTAGAGTTATTGTTGACAAAATCAACAAGATAAGCCTTGTGGAGGACCTCATTGAAAATTAATGATATCTTAAGTTTTATTACCAAAGGTGATTGAAGTATAACCAACTATATATATATATATATATATATATATATATATATGGTTTCACTCACATTAATATATATCAAATATTAATCAAAAAGAAGACAAAAAAATCTAAAAAAAATTAATATTAATTAAAAGAAAAATTATGAAAACATTGATAAAAGTACAATACAATCTGAATTTACACACACAAAAAAGTAATATAAAATCTGAATCCATTAAAACCAACAAAGAATCTATCTTATCTTTAACAATACACAAGACTGGATTATAGACTTACAAAGTTGAGGGGATTCAACTTTTAAAATAAAATGCTTTTAAAGTTATATTTTCCCAATCACACTTGTTTTTAAAACATATAAATCTTTTAAGGAAAAAAAAGAAAGAAAACTCAAAGCCACTTTTTTCTTGTTCTTGTTATGCTTGTTGTTTTTTTTTTCTAAAGCCATCCAACAATACGATTTAAACCATGTTATAAATCAAATAAGACGTACGCTATTGGAATGTGGTGTTTCACAAACATGTATGATATACTCTCAAAGAAATTACACAAACAAAAACTAAAACACCACAGGTCATGCAAAGCTTTTCCTAGGAAATTTTTGACGAAATCTTGTTTCTGACCAGGTTTTGACGAAAAATTATTATTTCGTTGGAATTGACCATTTCCGACAAAATTCCGACTGTATCAATGGTCGGTATTTGCTATGTTTTCTTGTATTGACCACTTGATTATAATTATGCATTTTTGTATATTGTTTATTTTAAATTTTGAAACTATAAAGATTGTAGAAACAGAAGAATATAAGTAAAGGATGATAACATAATTTGTATATATGTAAAGTAGACTAAGTAGTATAAAACAAGTAAAAAAAAACAAGCAAGCTAGCTAGATCTTTTCATAAACAAAGTGCAAAGTAAACCTAGCGCAAACATGACTGGCCAAACGGAGAATTTGATGGGAGTATCATCTCTACGTGTGATGAATGAATAGTTAACAGCAGTGATAATAGTTTGGCTCAAGGCACAAACCAATCCAAGCATCTCTGGAAAGCTACCAAATCTACTGTCTGATCTTTGAGTTTGATAGTAAAACCAAGGAATGGGCCAAGTCCATTTCCACACTACTCTTTCAACTCTGCCTTTGTGTAAGAGATCTACGAGGCAAAGTATACAAGAAAACAATGACATTGACATTGCAGCCAAGGAGTATAAAGGTTTAGTGGAAGAGATCTGGTCAAAAACAGATGAAGATATTTCTAACACGAGGTTGATGATAACTAGAGACCACTCAATTATTACCTGTTTAAGAAAACAAAACATAGAAGTTTCATTTTAATCATTTTTGCCAAAAAAGTTGTGAACTGAAAAATGTTAAAAGACTTTTAAAGAAGATTTATTTTTTGAAAGACCTTCGTTCTAGAGGCTCTCAGGAGTTTGTTCTCGATCTCCCGAGCTATTTCTCTCACCAACATCTCCTCATCTCTGGGAAAGAACCATATTTTAAGCAAACATGTGAATACTAAAATTGAACGTATATGACATATATGTAAGTAACATGTTACCCTTCAACAAATTTGGTTGCTCAAGCCTGATTGATCATTTGTATTTTAAGAAAATATTCTCAAGTGTAACATTCTTTTCAAAATATTGAAAACTACAAACAAAATCCCCATTACTATTCTAAAGTTGTAATTATCTTTTTCTAATGAAGGATCTTATCACATATTTGTAATGGCTCATTTACTATGGTGACTATAATCAAAAGAATTGAGTTGGAGTTTTTTACCTCAAGTGTGCAGTACTCCATCCGGGGAGTGTAATTGCTTCAGCAAAACCATCTTTCCATTCTTGAAGCTCCTCGGCTTTTTCTTGTCGCTTAGCAAAGGAATCTCCAAAGCTTCCTGTCTGATTTTCAATGTCGAGAGGATCAACATGGTAAAGGACAGGTATCACAATCTGACCAAACTTCTCTTTGCATTTCAAGATGGCTACAACTTCATCCAAACACCATTTTGAATCCCCAAAGTTCTCTGAGAACACAATCACTGAAATCCTCGATACTTCGATTGCTTTTAAAGACTCTTCATATCGCTCTTCGGCTGGTAGTTCATCGTATAAGAAGGTTTTGATACGTTTCCTACGTAGACAGCCACAAAGATGGCTTACGAAGTTGTCACGAGTGTCTTTGCTCCTGAAACTTATGAAAACGTCGTGTTTCATTTTAGGACTTAGATTCATTTTCTTATTCTTATCATACCAAGTCTTTCTTCTTCTGTAACCATTTTTGGTTCTTTACAATCATTTAACTTTTTTTATACTTTCTTTGAAAATCATTATCGTTACTAACGTACAAAAACACATGACTTGACTCCTTTTTTCTATTGGAATTTTTAACTTAATTTCTTCGTGTACGTAGTTTCTTGGAAGTTTATGTATTGATTAAGACATCAATCACTTCACATACTGTATATCTATATCGACAGCACCTTAAGCTGACTTTTCATGTGCCCTTAACATCGTCCAACAAACTCTTCCAACATTCATGTCATCTTCGTACATCAACTTAGTTTTTTACTCATTGGATTGAATTGACATGTTTTCTCGGAAACACACTCGATAATATTTTATACCACGTCAACTAATTTTGTTGTTGTTGTTGTAATGAATCATATACACGTCAGAAGTTACTAATTCAAATATGTTAGGTTTATACTTTTATTTTATCCAATCATTATTATTGTTATTTAGTTATTCAGAAAATCTCCAAGCTTAAGAAATAAGTTATAAGAATAATGGAAATTGCAAGTTGTTCTAAATTACTAACCCACAGAGTAAAAATAATGGCTAATTTGGAAGCAGATTAATAAAGGGCAAACAGTTTTATATGACCAGAAAAAAAAAACTAAGCACAGAGTGAAATAGTAACGGCGAGAGAGATAGAGCAAACTCGGGAAAAAAGAGAGACTGAAACAGCTGTTGTGCGTCTTTCACATGTAAAGACCTTCAGGAACTCCTTCTTTCTTCTTGAACATTACCTTCTCCTTCGCCTTCTTGAAGTCCACATGTGTCACCTAGACGAATCCACCAAATAAGGTTAGCATAAAATTATTATAAAGGTTTTGCATAGATGAACCAAGGGCTGAGAGAATCAGAGAATCTTTACTTTCATTCGACGCTCTCTAAGAGCAAGCAGACCAGCTTCTGTGCATATAGCCTTAATATCAGCTCCTGAGAACTCATCTTTCGTCATTACAAACTCTTCTAGGTTCACATCTTCAGCCAATGTCATTTTTGATGTGTGTATCTAACAATCGCATACAATTAAAAACCCATCAGATCTTTCTATAAAAATGACAAAAAAAAAAGTTAGAAAAGTTCAGGATCAACAATTGTGGTACCTGGAAGATACGTCTCCTCGTTTTGATATCTGGGAGAGGGAACTCGATCTTCCTGTCAATTCGGCCTGGTCTAAGAAGTGCCGGGTCAAGACTTTCGATTCTGTTTGTTGCGAGGATGACCTTAACATCTCCTCTTGAATCAAACCCATCAAGCTGGTTCAGTAGTTCCAACATGGTTCTTTGGATTTCACGTTCACCACCTGAGTTTGCATCATACCTGTTTCAACCATCATTTTATATCACAGATTAGATTCCATCAATGAATCAATGTCCAGAACATGGATATCAATAGATCACATTTGTGTTGTATTTAGGCATACCGCTTAGTGCCAACGGCATCAATCTCGTCTATGAAAACAATAGAAGGTGAAAGGTCATCGGCAACCCTGAAAAGCTCTCTCACAAGCTTGGGACCATCTCCCAAATACTTCTGAATCAGTTCACTTCCGACAACACGCAAGAAAGTAGCTGATGTAGAATTTGCCACTGCCTGAAAAAATAACAAAAAGTAATACTTGCTCATCCCCCACAGTTCCAAATAAGAATGAGACACGTTAAAAATAGACCACACTGCAATTCATGCTTGCGACATAGAAAAAACCAGAAACCAAAGATATTAAATCCAAGTGACTCTGAAAATCTTCCTCCATCTGAACAAGTACTATGACCTAATATCTCCAGTCTATGTGATCAAACCAAAGAAGCCAATGTCCTAACTAATTCATCTCTCTAGGGGCAAAGAAGATCTACAGCCTTGCTTAGTGAAGATTGATAAAAGACTGAATTGAGCAATTAACAAATAGAAAGCTTTTAATACTTGGTACAGTACATACTAAAAGACGAACCTTAGCAAGCAATGTCTTTCCAGTGCCTGGTTCACCATACAAGATCACACCCTTTGGTGGTTTAATTCCAATATCTTCATACAACTCAGGATGTGTTAAAGGTAGCTCAACAGCTTCCTTAATCTCCTGAATCTGAGCTTCTAAACCTCCAATGTCAGCATATGACTCCAGAGGAGCTTTCTCCACTTTCATCACAGACACCATTGGATCCACTTCATCTTGAAGAATCCCAACAACAGAGAGTACCTATCACAAAACAACACAAGTATCACATAGAAGAATTAGTTTAACGTTTCCATGGAAGAGCATTGTCAAATTTATCAACTCTTCCGACTAATTCCTAATTCAATTCCCCATAAAAACGAAGCCTTGACACCAAAATACCTTGTTATGCATCAAAATTGAGCAGCCAGGTTCAAGCTGATCCTTATCAACGAAAGACAAAATCCCAACGTAATACTCAGGACCAACAGAAGAAGAAACAATGGCATGATTCTCATCAATAAGCTCTTCGAGATTGCCAACACTCATAGGTGTACCACGAAGGTCATCAACTTTAGATCTATCTTCCTCAGCTTTCTCCTCCTGAGGTTTCAACCTCTCCTGATTCGCAACAAACTCCTCCTCCATGAGAAGATAGTCTTTGATTCGATCCAGTTTAAGCAACCGAAGCTTACATTTAGTAGAAGGAGTCACCGTCGGCAACCTCGCCGCCGCTTCAGGTCCTCTCTGCTTCCGTTGCTTCCTCCCTACACGAGCAGGTGGTGCGGCTGGTTCGAATTTCTTCTCTTTCTTGTCACCACCATCTGGTTTCCGATCTCCTTGTCGATTCAATCCGCCGGACGGTCCTTGACCCATCGGAGTTTCTTCTTTCTCTCTGGCTTCGTCTCTCTCTTTCTCTCTCTGAGGTTTCTTGCTCTCGGAGAAACAAATCTTCAAATCTGATTAATAAATATGGGCTTATTGTTTGGGCCTTAATACGCTGTGAGAAACTTAATGGGCCTATCGGTACCGCCAATTTTTTCTTTTTTTCCAATTGTATCATCTTCACAAATTCTGTTTTTTTTATATATATTAACAAGAAACTGCATAATTTTCTTTTAGTTCTTAAAAAAAAATAAAGAGTTGTTCTTGTAGATTTCAATTTACCATACTATTCCAACTATTAAAAAACAAAAATTAATGTAGCATTGACTAATATCAAAAAGTTAATCCCACACTAATAATGTCACATGACAAATGGCAATATCGATTATAATTAGGGAATAGTGTAACTAGAAATTGTTTGGCTATAATATATACTTGAAGACAAAAACTTTACACTGAGACATACATTGTTGTTGACTGAAGCAAATCAAAATGGTCTCTTCACACAAATGCTTGTTTTTCACATTTCTATGTCTTGCTCTTCTTTTTAATCAAGGTATGCAATTTTTTTTTTCTTTTTTTCCTTTTCTATTCAACATGTTACTAGTCAAAATATAATTTTTTGTGTTAATTTTTCTTTTTTTTATTTAAAGGTCTAGCGACAAGAGATATGTTTACTACAAAAGACAAGACTTTGTCTGTGATGAATGAAGATGGTTTGGCCGATCCATGTGGAGAGATACCAGACTGCAACCAAAAATGTGTCGACCAAAATTTCCCTAAAGGAGGAGTGTGCTTAGCACCTAATGGTGATGAAGAACCTGCATCTATTTGCCTTTGTAAACTTTAAAATTTGATTTATTACAATTTTATTCAATTTCAGAGTCAGTGAAAAAGACCATTAAATGACAATAATTAAGATTATCTATCATTCAAAAAAATAATTAAGATTATCTATTAACATTTTAAAAAATTCTACTACATGAGCTAAAATTTACCAATCATGCTTTCGTTTACAAAATTTACTGCCGAAATACAAAAGTTTATAGCAAATTAAATTTTAAAGTAAAAAAAAAAATACTGTCGTTACAATAATTTATTAATTTTAATTTTCTATTTGTTTCTTATTTATTTGATTTTCAATGATTATTTTCTTGCATTTCCAAATATTTCATTTTTCGCATATCATATCAGAAGATAATGAAATTTACCAACAATCCAAATTTACAAAAAAAAAAAAGAAGAAGAAGTTAAATGTTCTATCAGTTGTATTATTTCTAACTCTGCGAACGATTGCGACATATTCCGATCAACGAGGAATTAACGTGAATATTACGTTGGCTTTTGCCCTTTGCTTCCATTACGACAAAAAGAAAGATAGGAAAGATTTGCAAAGCTGTGAGGAAACAAAGATTAGATCATGTACACATAAACTAAAATATGAAACTTCTTATAATAAAACTCAAAGAAAGAGATGTAAATGATGGTGCTTAAAAGCATACGACTTTTGTATGTTTGATCTCAGTCATAAACAACAAGCTTCTTATACTCTTCGCCTTTAATGGCTAACCACATGACATCTTCAGGATTTACAATCCCACCTTCTTCAAGAAACAGAGTTAGTAGATTCTTCGAAAACCCGCTAACCAAAGCCACTCCTTTATGCTTAGCCGCCACGGGTGTAGCCGACGAGTCCCTCAGGTTCCAAAACACTATTTCCGGAACCTTCTCAAAACCTTGGTCTTTATACTTCCTCTGAACCACCTCATAATCCGTCTCCCATTTCTCCTTGGACCGTTGCTCCGCTTTTTTCAACTCTTCCTCAAAACTCTCAGAGTCACTACTCTCGTAGTCACTCTCACAAGCACTCTTGTAGACACTTTGAAAATCACTTTCGGAGTAACTCTTGTTTCCATTGGCACTATTGAACTCCATGTCACTGAACACAAACAACCGCTTGATCATCTCATCCTCGGTTAGGTTATTCTCAACTGCAAGCTCAAGAATCCGATCAAACACCTTCTGGAAGTCCGTGTTCATTCCCCAATCCATTCTTCTGATAAACATAGTCTTTTCTTGTAGACTCGAACCCGTGACTAAGTGCAGCTCCGGGTCCTCACTAAAGGTGATAACTTTCCCTTTCCACGGTTCTTCATTAAGTTCAGAAACCAACAACCCGAGCGCCAAACAAACCTCCATTGGTGTACCCTCCATGCTTCCAGAGACATCACAAACCGCCAAAGAGTTCTTCAGCTTCCCTTTCTTGGCAAGATCATCCACCATTCTCCCCCACTGAAGCTCTGCAACTTCCCCGCCAACTTCACTATCGTCCAGCTGCTTGATTATCTGATGAGGAAGCAACGCACCAGCCGCAATCTTCTTCTTTCCGGATTTCACATCCCCCAAAAACTCTATAAACCTCTCGCAATCATGTTCCACAAAGAGCTCCCTGTAATTCTGCATAGCCATAGAAGAAACTCTATTGTACTTCAACAAGTTCCATTCTTTTGCGCTCATGGACAACTCAGGCAACTCAAGAGCTCTATGCAACGGCACAAGAACTTCTTTCCTCAACCTATCTCTAATCCTATACGCATAATGAGCTTCCTCTATTCCTTCTTCATACTCATCTCTAGAAAACATCCTTCTAGCAATAGCCTCACATATCAAAGTAGACTTATCGTAAGAAGAATCAACTGAAGGACACCACTTTGAAGCTAAACCAATCTTATTCGGCTGATTCGAATTCAAATACTTCTAATCCGATTTCAACAAATCCGCAATCCGATCAAATAGTAATCTGTAATTAGCATCAGAGTTATACCTCTCTAAAGCCTTTCTAGCCTTTTCCAACTCTCTCTGTTTCCGTAAAGCCCTAGCCTTTATCTTATCTACAGGACCACAAATCTCCTCCGCGTTTTCCATAATTCGATCTTCTAGTTCACCGGAAATATCAGACCTTTTCTCACTCTTCCCTTTGAATCTCTTCTGAATATTCTTCCTCCAAACCCGCCTTTTCCCTCTTTCCATATGTTGACCATCCAAGATCCGATACAAAATCTCAGGCAAATCTTTGAAATAGCCAAAGGCAACAAGAGCAGGGAGATTTAAAGCTAGGGTTTTTGGATGGTTCTGGTAAAGCCAAAACGCAGCCGTGTAAAACCCTTCTTTATCTGATTTCCCAGTTCCTCTGACACCTCTGAGATTGCATACGAGCTTCAACGTAGTCAAAAGGTTATTCGACCACGAAATCGCCAGCCTTTGGATCAGATCATCGGGAGATGTGTCGGGGACGATGTGGAAGAAGAAATCGAGACATGGGTTCCTGGAAGAGAGAAACGTCGGCGAAAAGTTTTCGGTTAGACCCATCGGTGGTTTTTCTAGGTTTAAAGCGGCGATTTGGGATATCAAACTATGGGCATCGGAAATAGGGGTTTCTGATGAATTGACGGTGAATGGGTTGACGGCTTGAAAATCTCCGGCGACGAAAGGTGGTCCAAGAAGGATTGAAGTAGAAGAAGCCATGGTAAGAGAGAATTAGTAATTTTTGATGGTGATGACAATGTCTCAAAGTATATCTTTAAGGGTTTTTACATTGAAGCTTATATAGAGATTAGCTTGGGGAGCACGTAAGAGACTTAGCATATTTTTAAAATAATTTATTGAATTCTTTTTCTAAATTTTACTTTGTTAAGATTAGTATTTAATAAGGTTTAATTTTATGGTATATGTATCTGCCTTCAACCTAAATTTTTTTTTAAAAAAAAATAAAACTATAAGATTGAAAGGTATACGTAATTGTCCGTATATATTCTGTTGATATTTTTCTTATATATAAGATTTAGTGAAATTCTTTTAGGGAAAATGTATTAAAAAACCTTTAATTTTTAATTTTTGTTGAAAGAAGTCTCAACTTTGTCTTCATTTATTTATCCAGATAATAAAAGTTGACTGTAGCAAAATTAGCAATTTAAAAGCAAGATTAATTTGCTTCCATTTAACAAAAGTTAATTAATAATTAATATGCAAAGTTAATAAATTTATTAATTTTTAAAACATCAAAATCATAAAGTTATAATTTTTTTCAATCGTTTTTTAAAAGTTGGAAATTTATTTTTCATTTAAAAAAAAATCACTTCACTAAAAATAAATTGCAGGTTTATGTGCGATGTCCACCACAGTACTTTCAGTCTATCATCAACGAGAAGAGTCATCAATACTTGAACATGTGTACTGTACTGTCCTTTTATCTCGAACATAGTTTCAATCATATCCTCCAGCAACGTGTGTCATTTGATCTACCCGAGAGGCCGAGACAAAACCACCACATTTGAAGAAGCATGCAAGAAAAAAGGGCATGAACTTAATTATATATAGAGCACAACAAAAAGAAGTTAAAAGGCTAGAGAGGAACTGCTTCATTATCTTATCTCTAGCATTACTAAATCCACGAGAGAAGTTTTCAGACAACCTTTCTTCAACAAATATTTGCACTGCCTAAAAGCCACATCCACCACATTTGTCGATGTTAATACTTTTCCACATCCATACAACCAAAAGCCAAACACCACTGCTCCTAAAACGATTCCTCAGCTCTCAATAAACAAACATTCATCTAAACATTGATAGTGCAATCCTAAAACTTAAAAAGCATTAAGAGCCGAAATGAAATCATGCATTAGAAAAAGAAACAACAACCTTAATAAGTTTTTTCCAAAAAGAACAGGAAATATGTTTTTGAAACTGAAGAAAACATGTAGCATAATAATGAAAAACAAACAGACCCAAAATGAGATAGCATAGCATATTATTAATTGATCATAGATCATAGATGATGATACTCTCAAGCCTCCTCCACAGCTTTGGAAGACGCCTTCTTCCTTGATTTCTTGGCAACTTTTTCGGCATTCTCCTGAGAGTCACTGCCAGGCTGCTCAACGTTCCCTGCACTGGAACCGACTCCAGGCTCTTCTTTAACCGGGGCCTTATCTTTCTTGCTCCTACTTTTCTTAGGAGCCGCCTTCACTGACTTTGTTGCATCACCAGCACCGTTGTCCTTTGTACCCATCTCATTCTCTAGACATATTCAGCAATTTACAAGTTACTAGAAACTCCTCTAGTTGCGTATGATTGTAGAAAAGAACATGTATAATCAACCAAGAACATAAAATACCTTTAGGAACAGCCAACAACACAAGAGTATTGGTAATCTTTTCTCCACTCGAGTTTGGAATAGGTTCGGAAACAGCAACAGCATCACCACCTTTGAGTGCTTCGTCCTCAGCAACAAGAGATTGATCAATGTGATCTTCTGAGCTCTGCTTACCTCCACCTGAGCTACTAGCCTCAAAGTAATTTGCCGGAAAGGCTAAAAAAATACAGAAGTAGAAAAAGATACTTATTTTGCATCAATAGAAGCTAATTAATCAAACGGGTTAATTAAAAAAGTAGCCAAGTAAAATCAAGAAATGAATATCAGTAACTTAACCATAAACCATCAAAATAAATTTACCTTTGCGAGTTTCATTCACATCATCCTTAACTTCAAAGGTAGGTGCAATGACATTTGTTACATCCTTTTCAAGGTCTACTGAACATACAAAATAAATTATTCTTATTAAGGACAACTCTCTACAACAACTTATAAAAAGAACACAGTTTCAATAGCTTCTTCTAAGAGTTACCACACCATATAAAACGACTTGAGAACATCAGATAAAACAATCAAAGGTATATCATAAACTAATACTCTCCAATACCATCTTCCATAATAGAGAGAGATAAAACAGAGGGTTGCCTATTTCGATACCTCTCTTAACACTTGTTTCATTCCCAAGAGCTTTTGCTACTTTCCTATGAGATTTCTTGTCACCAGCTGAAGATCTCTCTTTCCTTTTGTTGGTATTTTCTTTAGCGACTTTGGTTTTCAGATCCGGATTAGGGTTTGAACTTGGAGCAGTTATAGTAAGTATCTCCTTACCATTCGCCTCAACGTCAGCGAAAAGGGACCAGTCCTTGTTTCTGATCCCGTCAATAGCTTTGCTAAGTACCATAGAATCTGGTAAATAGTAAAATTTACCTCCCATGTTAACCTATATAAAAAACAAAAACACGATCTTGAACCTTAAGTTTGCGATTTCTTTGCTTAAACAACAACAAAAGAAAAAAAAAAACATTAATTGGTATACCTTAATAGACACAACAGAAACTCGCCCAAAACTTGGGAAGCACTGTTCATGCTGCTTTTTTATTTTGCCTGTGTAAAAATAACAAACAAAAAAGAAAAAAAAAAAAAAACAAGAATAAACATAAATAAATACCTGAGTTTTTGTTGATACAAAACGAATTTACAAAAATATTGAGAACAAAAGAAAGAATGAAAGAAGAGAGACTTAACAAGATTAGAGAGAGAACAAAGCTAACCTTTGAATGCAAAGACAGAGTCATCACAGTCGAGGAGAAGTCCGAGATTAGTGTCCTTGTTAGTGCTAATGAAGACACACCTTGCTGTTGTTTCGTTGGCCATAGTGAGTGAGTTAGAGAGAAATGGTGATTACTGTTTACTGATTAGGGTATTGAGGAAGATAAAGAAGAAATGAGGCTCTGTCTCTTTCTCTATGGGACTGTGGACATTTATATGCGAAAGCTGGTAAGTAGCCTCGGTTCCATAAAATAAAAAAGTTAAAAGAAATACCAAAGGTCATCTATTATTATTATTATTATTGGAAACTCAAAAGTCTCCTTCGCTTAAGAAAACGAAACGTCGATACTCAAATAGAATCACACTCTCTCAGTCTCTCCCTCTCCCTTATCATCATTATTAATCAGTTTTAACTCAAAATTGTGATTTACTCATCTCCCCACCTTCCCTCCTTGCATGAAGCTCTCGCCGCCGAAGTAATTAAAACCGTAAATTTGATGGTGGGTACGTGAATGGTGATACATAGCCCATTTTACAATCCACTTAGGCCCAATGTACAAGCCAACATATCGATTACATTCATCCCTCAAGATGATTGATAAGTTGGCTTAAATCATACTGCAAAAAAAAGAAGAGGAAATGAGAAAAACCTCGTATATAAATCATTGCTTTGTGCTCTTTGTACCATTAAACCTAGTGGTATATGTCATTTTGGTTTTTATATATAATTCTTAGTTGGAATTGACTCTATCATTCACACCAAAAAAATAATAATATCAACAGAACGACATCTAACAAAAGTACTAATAGAAAACAATTAAAGTAAAAAAAGACATCATTCAATATATTTTTTTCCCAAAAGTTGTGGACTTCATACTAGATTAATTATATTTCTTGAACATCCTTTTTTTTTTTTTTGTCAAAGCTTGAACATCCATATCTAATTTTCCTATGAACAAAAATTCAAAATTTCCTTTCTCGGTAAAAATGGGTATAGTGGCAACTTTTGTAAGGTGGGATCATCATTCAAATGGTAAGATTAGTCGGATTTTATATTTTTAAGAATTAAAATTTATATTTACTTATGCTAATTTATCGTGTATTATTAGTCAACTAGTCAAATATCAACCAATAAAATGAGTGTTAATATTTGAAATATTAATATAAGTTCTTTAAACCTAATGTATATATATATAGTAATTTTTTACGCGTAAGTGGAATACAAAAGAACACTTGAAAAATAAATGAGTATACGAATGAACTTTTAGAATATTTCATGACAACGTTAATATATCTTCTGTTTTATTTGATGATCTTTATGCATTTTAAATAATGTAACACAAAGTAAAATTGCAATTTATGAGATTACAACTTATGAAAAATATATATTTTAAGTTTTTGAAATATATTTTTATTTAACTAATACCGTATATGAACCCGACATAAAACTCTAGCAAATGTCGTGATTATATTTCAAAACGTTTAAACTCTCGTAATCACAACCACATCCACAGCAGCGAATCTAAAGTGCAAAATCTCCAAAACTAATGCATATAGAATTCAAATACTAATATAGTTTATCCTTCAGCCTAAGATTTTTTAACAATAAATAATAGTTATATGACTTCAATTATATGAAATACTAGGATATACCCCGTGGTATACCACGGGTCCATTTATTAATATATTTGTTTGGTTGATCATTTTCGTAGTTGGAATATATAGTCTAGTTTTATAAGTGTGTATTTTATTTTAATTTTATATAATTTTTGGAATTTATATTATAAGTAGATTCATAGATATATGTTTCTGTATGACTTTGTAATCTTGATTTGATATCAATGAAATTGGAAGGAAAAAGAAAAGATATATGTGGTCAACCCGCGATACACCGCGAGACAATTTTGTTGTAAATAAAAAATATATTTTAACTTAACCCATAAAATATTTTAAATATAGACAACCCCTAATAAAAATATAATCATATTTATGTATACTCAAACCCGTTTAATTATATTTACGTACAATTTTATTATATTTAAAAAACATTTAGAGTTCAAATATTAATAGTACTTTAAATTTTGTAGGTTTCAAATTTTTAATATTTTAAATATTCTATAAAACTTAAATTAAATATTATAATTTTCAGCTTTTAAAAGTTTTAACATTTATAATATTTTCAAATTAAAAAAAAAAGAAAATTTATAATATTTTGAAACCTTTTAAAAGTTTTATTTCTCTTAAATAAGGAAACATATTAAACTGAATAAAAATTTTAATTTGCATACCTGAGAAATCAAAGTTCATGCTCATTTGTAGTGGTGAACATATTAGTCGTATTTATAATCGTTTGAACTATAATCTAAAATTTTATACCTTATGTAGATGTTATACATATATTTTTTCCTTTATCGATTGAGTTATATATATACGTCCGTTTTCTAAAATTTAAATTGCAAAATGTGTGGAAAAAAATTTGTATTTTTATTATAAATTTATTTTATGTAATAATATAAATTAAAAACAAATAAGATTATATAAATATGTTGGAGAGAGATTTGATTTATTAAAGAGACAGTTTAGGAAATTTTTTTGATGTAATAAATATTTGTTTCCATTTTTTATTTTTGCTTGTGAGTTAATTACAAAATTTACTTTTAAGTTTTGTTATTTATTCAAATGGCAAGGGTTTGATTATGTAAATAATACAAAATAAAAGGTTATAATCCAAATTAGATTTTAGTACAAAATGTACTTCAAAAATGTTAAGATAGATATTTGTTGATCCTTTCGAGCTGTCAAAAAATAAATTAATCCTGTCGTAAATAATTTGCGAGAAAATTATTAATACTGCCATGTACAGTGACCAAACTCTTAAGAAATACCATTTCTATAATTCTCTTCTCCCGCCTGCCACAAGAGCTATGTAAAAAGACCAACATATCCCTGGATGAAATGGGCTGCTCTGTCTCGTGACTGTTCAATTTTTTTTTCATTATCTCTTTCTTTTCTTCATCTTCTTTTTCTTCTTCCAACAACAAACAATTCCAGCAGACCAGATCCGACAGACAAAATCCGGCGGACGAACTCCGACGGACCAGATTCGACAGACCAGATTCGACAGACCAAATCCGACGGACCAGTTTCGACAGACCAGATCCGGCGGACCATAGCAATTCTGGTTCAGATTCAGCAGACCAGATTCGACGGACCAGTTCCGACCGACCATAACTCCAGCGGACGAGTTCTGACAGACCACAGTCGGTTATGATGAACTATAACCAGTTCAAGCAGACCAGATTCGACGGACCAGTTTCGACCCAACAGGAAGACGAGTTCCGATAGACCAGATCTGGCGGACGAGTTCAGGCGGACCATAGTCAGTTCCTGGCGGACCATAGACCAGATATATTTTTCGGCGATGGACAATACTTTTTTCTGTAGATGGACAAGATTCGGCAGATCAGATGTAATGGACTAGATCTTGTGGACGAGATTTTTTTTTTTTTTTTTTGTCTATCGTTTTTTTGTCTCTGCTTCTTCGCCACCCACAACTTCCACAAAATCTCTCTATTTGTCCTTCATTAGCACCCACCAATTTGTACAGATCTGGTTTACATTGTGCCCCTAAATAAATCAAAATTTTATTTGTGTCATTCTATAGAACGTCCACAGTGGACACGCATCGGAGTTAGAGGACACGCATCAGAGTTGTCTCTTGAATTCTGTCAAAATGAGTTTTCGATGGACCACATATATTTTGTCCATCATATATTACTTACTCGTCCGTTATTTTTGACATGGTCCATTACCCACAGGATATTAGGCTACAACCCAGCAATTAATAGTTATTGCTGCCAACAGAAAAAACAAAATTTCACTCTTTAATGCCAAAGACAAAATCGTCATTGTAACTCTCTTTATAGCATGATTTAAAAGAAGATTTTGTTAATGGCAGTTTCAGAAAATTGAGTTTCCAAATTGGCATTCTAAACAAAATTCTCATAATTTGCTTACACTAAATATAATTTTTCTACAAAAAAAACAACAACTAATTATGTGAAAATAAAGAAAAAAAGATAAATAAAAGAAGACAAATATAAAAAAGAAAAATACGAACAACGACAGAGAACTTGGAGTTGGAGTTAGCTTAGCCACTTTTTTGTGCTCAGAAGAACAGTCGCCGGCGAAAAGTCTCAACCTTTTTCCTCTCCTCCGTTCCCAGTTCACCGGCATTTCTCTCTTCTCCGACTTGATTTCCTATTAGCCTGAGTTTCACGGCGATGGGAGACGAGAAGCCGGCGGTTGTGATGGCCAATCGTGAAAGAGATCGAGAGCTTCTGATTCCCGTCGCTGATGCCGGCAACAAAGACGATGGTTCTTCGTCGAAGCCTTCTTCTTCTTCCTCCTCTTCTTCTTCTTCTTCGCATCAATCCAGCCACGAGGTTTAGTTTTCTTTCTTCACCTGATCTTGAATCTTGTTCTTCGTTTGCCCATTTCAAGATTCATGCGAAATCAACAGTAGAATTGAATTTATATTAAGCTCTTAGTTCCTTTCAAGATTTGTTCTTCAGAGATTTGACCGATTCTGTTTCCCCTTAGTTCAAAATCTTGGAACTTGTTTTACCCTAGATTCAGTCTATCACCAATTAGATAAGTTGGTTAGTGTGTTAACTAGCAAAACAGTGATCTTAACTCTGCAGATGCTTATAAAAATTTGATCTTTCCTGATTGAGTAGAGTATGAAATTGCATTACAAGTGCTTTTGTTGGGATCCGTCAGATTCTTGAGTCTTTATGTTATGCTCATTCATGTTTTCAAGCTTATATAACACATAAGAGCATTGTGGTCTGATGCTTTAGATGGTTTCTGCAGACTTTAAGCTTGTTCATCAGAGGTTGGGCGTCGAAGAAGTTCATGACAGGCTGGTAAGCAAAAGTTGTAAATTTGGCATTTGATTGTAGTTGTCACAGATTCAGAAGGTGTGCTGATAGTTTTAAATCTCAATTGCTTTATTGCAGTGTTATCCTACTTCCTATTGCAATTACTTTCTATATAACATGGTGGTTCATTCACTTTGTCGATGGATTCTTCTCTCCAATATATGCACAGCTTGGAATCAACATATTTGGTAAGCATTTGAATGCCCCCTCTTTATCGAATCAACAACTTGATATTGGTTTCTCACATGAGTTCGATTTTGGTTTTGTAGGTTTCGGTTTTTTGACTTCCATTGCATTCATCTTCTTGGTCGGTGTGTTCATGTCTTCATGGTTGGGGGCATCTGTTCTGAACCTAGGAGAGTGGTTTATCAAGCGGATGCCATTTGTTCGTCACATCTACAATGCCTCCAAGCAAATCAGCACTGCCATATCCCCTGGTCTCGCTTAGAATTAACTTAATTTACATTTCAGCATTATAAGTTAATCAAAGCTTTCTAATCTCAACTTGTTCATATCCATTTTTTCCTTCTCCGTTCAGATCAAAACACACAAGCTTTCAAGGAAGTTGCAATCATTAGGCATCCCCGAATAGGCGAATATGCATTTGGGTTCATTACATCAACTGTTGTTCTCCAGGTGAGTGAAAATGCTTTGTTCAAGGATTTAGTTATTGTTTCCAGAACTGTTTTTTAGGATACAAAGCGCAGACACAGTGTCTTCTAAGCATGGTTAGATAGATCCGTTCCAAACCAAAATGAATGTAATAATGCTCTTTGATTGCAGAATTACCCAACTGAGGAAGAACTTTGCTGTGTGTATGTTCCTACAAACCACCTCTACATCGGAGATATACTACTTGTCAACAGTAATGATGTTATCAGGCCGAATCTCTCTGTCCGGGAAGGAATAGGTGAGATTTCAGAATCTAACCTCTGCTGTGATAAATCCCCGACTGACTTTTTGTCCTAGCATGCAAGTTTATTTGTGGAAAGCTACTTAACTATTTGTACTCATTCATCATCTGCAGAGATTGTTGTTTCGGGGGGTATGTCAATGCCACAGATTCTATCGACTCTTGATAAACCTTCGGCCTCAATTGACAGAGCTACAAGTTTATAGTTTCATGCAGAAGACTTTCTCTTTTTTTTGAGTGATGATGAGTGTGTGTCACTGGAGTCTATTCAATATTGTTGTAATATTTGATTTGTGTTTACGAAAGTGTATAATGTAAGTTAGGTCTCTCTTCTTAGATATGAATCTTTCTCCTGAAAATATTATAGTCCTTGAAAAAGCGTTGAGAATTTTTTTCTGTTATGACAAGATTTGACATCAATTCTCTTGAAGAAACCCAAAAAATTGATTTATTTTATTTATTCTTCAAATCTCAAGCAGAAGTAAAATCAGATCTTCTATAGGTTCCTAAAACATATCAAAATCAGAGAAAAGCATGTATGTTCCACAGTAAACATCACTGTGATTGCCAATGATAAATGGCAATGTACACAAATAGGGACAACAATTTGTAAAGGAACAGCTCTTATGGATCAAAGAGAAGAATTTGGAAAAAAGAAAAGAAGAAGAATGCCTAACAAAATAAAAATGGTGTAAATAGTTATATCGTAATACTCTCTAAGGACCTGCTAATGTGCTGAAGCTGCGACCTCTCCTCTGTTTTAGAATATGTAAGAGGAAGACAAAGGAGTGTTGGTGGCTTTACCTAGTAGATCAGGCATGGGGAGGTTGATGCAGCTGGCATTTCTGTAAAGTTATTTTTCCTAAAGGAGTAAATATTGATTCAGAGGTCCTTCGTCTCAAACAAAGATGGAGTTTTTTGAAGATGGGTTTGTGAGGATGTAGTTGGTGCTGGTGCTGGTGTTGGTGTTGGTGCTGGTGTTGGTGTTGGTGTTGGTGTTGGTGTTGGCGTTGGTGTTGTTGTTGTTAGATGGGAAGGCTGCTTTATGGTTTGAGAAAATCCATTTGCAACTGGTCCCTGTTGAACCACTGGCTGGATTTTGACGGCAGTGTGTACAGGTGTTGTATCTAGATTCGTTCTTGACAAAGAACAATTTGATTCTGCAACAAACAAACAAAAACTAGGTAAACGTGAATCTTATGTTTGGCAATATACTCCATTTTCTTGATAAGAAAAGAAATCTCTATACCTTTTATTCCTCCCTGCGAAATGATCCGGTTAAGGTAGTCACGGAACTTGATTAATACTACTTTCTCCTGATCTGCATAGACCTGGTCTTGCCCGTTAGGTAGCTGTGAGGTAGGCTTCACCGAACAATTAGGCGAAGCTGCAACCATTAACATAGTGTCCCGTTCATCACACATCAATGACAAAGTTTCTGGAGATAGTGACCTCCCTTTGGAGCCAAAATTGGTATCCTCTAGACCAGATTTCTCAGCTTGATTTGCACTCACGGATTTCTCAACCTCGGTACCTTTATTATTGCCTTGTCCTTGATCTTGCACAGAAGAAGACATGGAAGTTTCTTTCTGATCTGCTAATCGTTTTTTTGTGAATGCTTTTGCAACTTCTCCAGCTACAGCAACCAGAGTAGAACAAAGTGCTTGCACATTTTTCGGTTGAATTATGTCTGCCAAAAGAGACCTTCAAAAGAACACATATTTATAGCTCACTTTCTGCATCCCCAGGGAAAAGAATTAGCTTTGTCAACACATCAGAAATTTACCTATATACAACTTTGGATGGGCCTAACGACGTGTTGCCTCCAGTACGAGAACCAGTTGTTGAAGGTGTGGTTCTTCCATTATTTGCCTGATACCAATAATTATACTATAAGATCTTCTACCATTTTCCTAACCACGGAAGACAGAAAAGGAAAGCATATAGAATATTAACTTGAGGTAACTGATTTACCTGGCCAAGCCTATGAGTTGATGAATCTTTGGTTCCTTGGTTAAAGCTAATCTCCTGACCTTTCCTTCTCTTAGGAGCCGGAGCAGATGCAAAGCCAGAGGAACCAATAGCTCCTGTTATGGCAGCATTTACGTGTTGGAGATAAGCCACGTTGTGGGAATGATCACTGTGAAAGAGCGATTGTCGTTCTTCACTTCCTTCAAAATTTTTGCAGTCCAAGCATTTGCAGTTCTCCGAACAAAAAATGTTTGCTTGAAAGCACTCACAATACTTCTTAAGACATCCTGATTTCTTGCAGTGACAGCCTTTGTAGTGTTTCCCTGACGTCACAACTTCGCCAACCACCTCCTGTAAATCGAGTTAAAAATTTAGACCTTATCAAGAACCCTGAAAACAAAAAACCGTCTAAAAAGCATCACACCATAAGTAAACCACATACCCAGTTATCTCGTCGGCCGTGTGGACTGCTAGCAATCTTAGGCTTAAATGCATTTGGATTCCGTTCCAGAGTTGAATTAACAGCTTCTCGTCTCGCTGGTTCATTTTCAACGTTGTTGAAACAATTAACACAGTTGCAACCATCACAGTAAGTACCGGAAGCAAAGCATTCACAATACCTGACCAAAGGACATTGCACAATGCTCAATTCATATGAAGAAGTCCATAAACAGCAGAAAGAGTTTCTCATCAATAGTTAGAATGGAGACTTACAGCTTCAAGCAGCGTGAGTGTTTACAGTTACACTGTTTTTTCTTCTGAGGAGTTCCATCTCTAGTTTCCCCCACAGGCCTTGGTTTAGATTTCGGCGACTCGGGCTTCCTGCGATAAAACAAGTGTCAACTCTAGAAAGGAACATTCAAAAGCATAGAACAGTAACAATTCAACAAAATCAAAAATCTTTCGAAAGATCTACGCTTCAATCCCCAAATCTGATTTGTCAAAAAGTTCAAATTTTTGAAATAAGAAAGAAACATACGGATGTCGAATTGGGACGTGAAGAAACCCCTGCGGCGGTGGAATCGGAATAACCGGTCGTGCCTGACTGGTAACAGGCCGCGTAGCCGTCACAGCCATTGATGCGACGGGAGCTTGATTAGACTGTGGAAGCGCCACATCAGTAAAATCGAGTTGCCTCGCCGACTTCTTCGAGTCTTGTGTAATCTCTTCCTTTTCTGGCGGGAGTTTGTCTCCTTCTCCTTCACCTTCTCCCATCTCCACTAATTTCGAATTTCTCTGAAACACAAAACCCAGAAATTTTCCCCAACGAAATTTGAAATAAAAGAAGACCCAAAATTTATAATCACCAATTCAATCAGCTTGAGAAAACACTAATATCTCAAGATCTGAATCCACCCTTTAATCCCGTTTCTATGCAAAAACCAAAATAAACCCAGGAACCGAATCGTCGTCTACTCAAACTTCACAAAAACGGGATTTTGAAAATTCGAATTTTTTTTTTGATCTAGACAGAGAGAGATAAAGGAAATTAGGGTTTTGAAAGATTTAAGAAGAAGAAGAAGAGAGATTTGGTAACACAGCGGAACCAAAGAAGAAAAAGAGAAGTTGGGGTTTAAAATCTTCTTCTTCTTCTTCTTCGACTTCGCGAGAGAGCTTTTTTATAATTTTAACTCTCTCTCTGCGTCGTCCTTCTCCTCCCTCTCTTATACATGTTTTGAAATTTCAATTTTTCTGGATTATATTAGACGGTTAGATTTGTTTCTTAATCTGATCGTACGGTTCTTATTAAACTCATTGATCCGACGATTACTATTCATATCAGCTTTGAACTGTAGTTCTTCCTCCACCGTCCGATCCTCACAATATTAATACTTTTTTTTTTAAATATAACCCGTAATTATTTCACTCGTGACTACTACATGCTTTTGAATTTGGCACTAAGTTTTCGTTTATTCATGAAATTGTCCCAATAGTTTTTAAATATTCGAAAAATGTTGCAAAAGGAAAAAAAAAAAAAACTTACAAATGAAGAAGAGGAGGGTTGGTGGTGAAGATGTTGCATGATGAAAAGGAATGGATCTATGTTCTTCCTCAAGATCAAGATGTTCAAAGAGTTGGAGTTTATAATGGTTTCTTTCCACAAACTCTATTTTTTGGGGAGATTTTATAGAACCTGAAAATGATTTCTAATCTTTTTGAGTAAGGTTTTTTTCTTTTTGTTATCTAGAACTTCATTATTCAAATAAATAGTTTAGATTTTAACTATCTTAATGAAAAATAATAATAAGATTAATGTTTAGCTAATTATATAGCAAAGTTAAAGTTGACTAATTTTTGGTCTAATTTTACGTAGTCAACAAATACTTTGATATTTATTTTTTTACAGAGATGGAAATTTTTTTACGTAATTACCAAAAATTTAAAGATTTTTTTTGAATACTTTCTCTCTTAAATAGCTATCGAATCTTAGAATAGTATTTGATTTTTTCTTTAATGTTATTGAATATTGCAAACAATAACAATTTTGACTTCAAAGTCAACAACAAAAAATGAAAATTAAGTAAATCAAATTTCTTATCATAAATAAAAATTTTGGTCTTCGTAAATTTAAATTGGTACTGCAAAGTTTATGTATCTAATTTCTCTCTATCGTCTCAACCTTAGAAGTGTTTTAATGGCGTTGATGATCTTAGGGGGTGTTATTGGATGGAGGTTTTTAATTACCATAGGATAATAGTGGATTTAAAAGTTCAATGGATTTCTAATGCATATAACGTGGATTTAGAAAGTGTTTGTAGTGGATTTGTGAAGATTTATTTTTCTAAAAGACGTGGATTTTTTTGTATTATTATATATCAATATTTGTAAGATTTTCTTGTTTCAAGAATCATCTATGTTTTACATAAATAGTGATTAAAACTTTTTTTTAATAAATGATTATCAAGTTTTAAATAACTGTCATGCTTATCATTTTTTTGTTTCTCCATCGTCACCTTCTTCTTTGTTTTACAAGTTTCTTTAATCTGAAACCCTTTTCAGTTCTCTTTTTAATTCCTCCTATGGCGATGGCCCTCTTAGATCCGGATTCAAATCACGCTCGATTCTATTATCCCAAATTGCTCTAAAAACATCTAATCCAAAAATTTATTGAAACTTGCTTGAAACGAAAATGGTGAGTCTTGGAACATCTATTCCATAACGTTGGTAATACTGATGGGGGTTGTGGTGATTTTCCAAAACAATTCTAATTTTCTGGGATGAAGAATAATAAAAAAAAAAAACAAATTTATTTTTAATATTTATTTAAATGAAATACTCCAAAATACAGATGAAAATGGTTGGATTTGTTTTACTCATGATCTCGCTTAAAAAATCCAATCAAATCCATTATAACTAAAATCAAATCTATATTGAATAACGGAGGATTTTAATGCATTTCAAATACATCAAACAAATGCTTGATTCAATAACGGTGTACTTTTAAAATACATTAAAATCCACTAAACTACATTAACCAATAACCCCACCTTAGTTGTAGCTTCAAGCTAAATGTTGTTTAGAGATCGAGTTAGATCTCTTTTCATATGACTCATCTTGTTTATAATTTTTTGGCTTTGAAATTTCATCAAAAAAGATTTTTAAAAAAAAATAATCAAAGTTAAAATCAAAAACTTTTGTAATTTGTAGAGAAAACTCTTTGAGATAAAAATCAATGATTTCATTTTCCACTAAAATCTCAAATTTGATGTCACAAAGTTTTATGACATCATATTAGAACATTAAATTTTTGATGTCACAAAGTAAACATTAAAAATTTGATGTCAAAAATTTTAACAGTAAAACTCATTTTCCATGGTTATAACTTAAATATTAAAAACAATATCAAAATAAAAACTCTCCAGTAACACATTATTGTGTCTAAGAACTAATTATACAAGCTTTTAAATAAACAAAAATCTCAAACTAGATAACGTTAAACAGAAAAAGAAAATTACTTAAAAGTTCTCGTCAGTAGATATTTGGCACAAAATAAAAGTTTTGCGAGAGCCGAGAGGCCAACTTCTAACTTTCTTTTAACAAAGAGTTTTCTTTTTTAATTGCATGGAAAGAAACATATTAAATGGCCAACCCTTTGTTATATTTGGTGTTTGTTTGAATAGGAACATCAACTACTAAATATGTTGGAAGCCTCTTTCTATTCACTAGCTATAAGGAGTTGCAAAGGTGTATATTTAGCATACTAATAACTTTTTAACCAACTAACGATTTTTCCTTAAGTTCGTTTGTCTAACACTATAAAGCTATGTGTGATCTAGCTATATATAAGGTTAATTAAGAGCTTAGCCTTAAATTTCATTTTAGATATTCAAGACTCAATCTAAGAGTTTTAGTCTTTCATCATTGAACAATGCTCTTGATACAATTAATAGGGATGTTGAAGTAAATAAAAACTCAGCCTGGCTCCAAACCGACACGACCCTGTCCACAATGCGTCCGAAGTTGAATAACTTTTCTGATGGGTTTTGAATTTTCAGTGGGTAAATTAATGAATTGACCCCGAAAAAGAAACTTGTTAGGTTGGATCGATTGGTTTTTTTCATTATTTGTCTTACTTTGAATTTATGCTTAATTATACCACCATATATAGTAATATGTATTTGAATCTTACTAGGTTTGAACCCGCGTTACACCGCGGGCCTATGTTTTATAATTAATTTTATAGTCTAATGTTTTTTTAAATATTCTTTTCATTGAATATTGTTAGTAAGAAAGTTTTTGATGTTATGTACATATGTTTCGCATAGTTATTAGTGTTTGAGTTTATTGTTGGTTAGTTTTACTCATGGATGGTATGTAGTTTTCTTTATTTCTTAAAAATATTGGCGGTGTTATTATAAGTGTGCGCTCATTTACTTCAATGTGTTTTTTTTTGTATTTTAATGGATTGGTTTATTACAGAGACAAAGTTGACGTTTTTAGATATTTTAATTCTAACTATAATAACTTTATGGGTGAGAATATAAATTATTAGCCTTAATACTTTGGAAGTATAAATATGTTTGTTTTTTTTTAATTTGGCTAAAGAAAAAACTGTATAAGGTTTGTTTGTATATTTCATATATTTTGTTTTTATTTTTAATTTTTTGGTTTATTGGTTAGTACTTTGTAAGCCTACGGTATTGTCTTGAATTTGAATAGATTAATTGTCCTAGACAAACCGGTTAAAGTGTCTACTTCTGGTTAACAAATATCCATTGTTGGACAACAACAAATATGGTGTTATCAATGGTTATAGATTTGTTTTACAACAAAATTTCCAATGAAATTTCAGGACATACATGCGAGATCTACTTCGAGATTTTGGTGTAAGTTCATTTGAACCCGTGGGACTTTGTTTAATGTTATTTTTCCATTAATTCTATTTTATTAGATTTTTGTTTCTTTTTTATATCATAGTTATTAATTCAGTAGGCTATATTAATTTCATATTTTTAGTAATGTTTTTAGTCTAATAATTTTTTTAACATGGTTTTACACATTGTAGTTTACTATATATGTATATATATATATATATATTGATATGTATTTTTTTTACAACGTAATTGTAGTGTGTGTTCAATTTCGGAATGTGTGTGTAGACTGTAGTATTTGTGTTTTAGTAATCTAGTGTTATTTTAGAATTAGGATGGTCTGGTTTAGCATAATTGTAGCTTTAATTTGTAATATATACCAAAGTTATAAATATTACTTTTAAGACTACATAAATTAATAGAAAGATAATGAATTATTATTAGTAAAATAAGAAATGCGGTTTGTATATTGTTCGTTTTAATATATTAAATCTTATAGTTGTTAAAATTGGTAGGTATTGTGTTGATTACAAAATATGTCTAAACAAAACCCGGTTCCGTAGATTTCTATACAAAGTAGAAGACAATGATAAAAAAAGAAGTTGTGCTTTGACCTTTATGCTCCTCATCGTTCCCAGAAACCCCTAAATTTCAACCATTTGGGTCATCAATCTGGATCCAATCCACCACTCTCTCCAATTGTCATCCTTTTTTCTGCTTTCCCACTAAAAAAAGATGATAGCTGTGATCGGATTGCTTCTGGGTTTTCTAGTTTCAGCATTGTTTCTTAATCCAAGGAAAGCGAAGATCAAACCCAGATCAAGACAAGAAGAGATCTAGTAATGAGCCTATAGAAGTCGTAAAGCCTAAAAGCTACAGCAAGAGTGAAGTAGCAGAACATAACAAAAGGAACGATTGTTGGATCATAATCAAAGATAGAGTCTATGATGTCACTCCTTCCGTTGAAGAACATCCTGGTGGTGACGCCATTCTAGTCTAAACCAAAACAGATCCTTAAATTGGCCAGCCCATATGAAAACAATAATAAATCAAGGAAAGATCGTTTTCAGATTGGATCGAACGCCGGTTGATTGTGAACCATATAATCTTGGACAGACGCGCGGGTATGTCTAAAACGGGTCGGAGCATTTGATATTTTGCACCCAAATGACTAAAATTGCCCTCCTTAATTTATAAAACTATTTTCCATTACAACTAATTAAAGGTAATTTAAGGAATTGGAAAAAAATTTATGCCATGATTAAATTTGTACTTCTCTTTTAATAATAGTAAAATACTCCGATCTATTCTCTAAATGCTTTCATATTCATATATGTCTTGATATATATATATATATTCAACTAAATTTGTACTCAACATTCATGAACTTTGATGTAAACTACCTAAATTTTGCTAATATTTAAGATATTTTTGCCATTGATCAAATTGAGTTGAATGGATTCTGTGAGATGTTGGGTACTAAAATAAGTCGAAACAACAAAAGCCAAACACACATAACACATTGATCAATTAAATGAATACTCATCGTTACTTCATACTCAAAGTGCTTAAGATTAAGACATAAAGTTCCCAGGGGGATTCTTCACTCTAGTCTTTTATTTGAAACAAATAACCAAAAAGTAGCAATCCAAGAGCTTTTAGTGTTTCATATCATTGAACAATGACTGATGATTATATAAGTAGCCACGTAACATTTGATGAACTCCACAAGCCATCACCAGTCCAAAATGTACAATGTGTGAGCTCCGCATGCAATCTTGATATTTAATAACATTTTTTGCACCCACACCACCATGCATCAGCAAACACGGATTCTGAAAAATTCCACCCAGTTAGATGTCACAACGATGATAATTAACACTAATTAATTTACCAAAAGTTTCACCACTTTGAGATTTCCATATATATTGATCACATGCATGCACTGTAAAATGATCATAGCAAAAGTCAACATGAGCCTGGAGGATTGATTCAAAGTTGATACTATAAACACAATTATAATTATTATAGTGCTGGAGCAATAGGCCTAAAAGAAACGCACCAATTATAGTACTTAAGAACGGATTAATGTAGGAGTTGTTAATAATAAACTTAAAACATTACGTACGTTCATCATTTCACATATACATTAAGAGAATAAATTAAGTTTCCTATTCAAAGCAAGAAAACATGATTCAATAGGTCATTCCATAATCGTTAACTTCAAATGTTCAAAGGCCAAACGCCAAAACCAATTTGTGTTAGCATAACATCATGAGCAACCAAATCTTGGAAACTCATTTTGTTGTTTTCTCAATATAGATTGGTTGCTCATGATGTTATAACATCTACTAAATTTTTTCCTGGCTGACCAAAAATCAAATAAACAACAGAAAGTGAAATATTAGGTCACTAGAGAGTGAATCCGAAGGCCGGAGCCCAATAGTCCGCGCCATTGTCGCTGCCAACTTGGAGTGTGCATGAGATTGGGACAAGACAAAGTCCTCTACTTGTCAAATCTTTCATTGGTTCTTCGTTAGGACTTGAGTTTTGATTGTCCTTACTCGATGATGATGAAACTCCTCTTTTCATGCAGTACTCATTCACAAGCTGATCACCAAATCAAAAAAAAAAAAAAAAGAATTCTTCAGCAATATATTTTAGAAAAATATTGAAACTGTTGTATATAGTGCGAGTCTTGGTGGCAAAACGGGTCGTGATATTTTTGGTTGCAAAAGTTGATTGAGATCGATCATTTGCCAAAAAAAACTTTTGTGACCAAAAGCTACTTTGATGAAGGAAAATAAATTATTTAAGTGGCTTTTCTAGATCTAACGAAAGGTAAATAGAGGACTGAAAATAAAGTTGGTAATGTCATCTTTTTATTTTATTGACCATACTTTATCTTAGTCGTTTCTTTTGTTTTCTTTGATTAAGATTTGGGGTAAATTGATCCAATAAAAAGTAAAGTGTGCATTATTTTCTTTTGGACAACATAAAAAGTAAAGTGCATATATAAAACAAGAAAAGAACAAAAATATGTGCGTACCTGACCAGGGTCCTCAGGAAATATCCCATTCAAAGTTCCTTGTGCCTAATTAGGAATTAATTGTAATTAGTTAGCTATCAGAAACCATATACATTATTCATGTTACTAAGGCGAACAGTAATTTAATAATTACATGTTGGTGAACCATATTATCATTCTTCGAGGGAGTGCCAAAGTATGGTAGACTTAAAGCCTGCAAACAAAAATATTGAGAAGGGGCCATTTAGAGCACCATTATATTCTAGACAAAACAAATACTCTACCAAGATGTCAAATCTTAAACTAATCTCACAATTACTTACATTATTATGTACTAATAATTTTCTTTTTAAAATCCGAAATAAGAAGGATAAAAGAACTCCAAATATTTTTGTTTTACTAGTTGTGAGAGATTCGAAGAAAACAAATATTTGTCTTGAAATAAATGAAATAGAAGAAGCATGGTAGTTTGGAAAAGACAAGTCACCTCAATTTGACTGTGGAGGAATCTAATGTATCCAATAGCCTCCGACAAGACAGAGGCTGTGTCAGTCTGAAATAAAAGGGATCAATCAGCCAAATAGTGACTAATTATAATTTATTCTTTTATTATTCAGAATTTATAATTAGTAAAGGTGATTAATCAGTGATTATACCTTGCCAAAGGGAGATACTAGCTGGTGAAGAGATGCGATTCTGCCTCCAAGCTTCTCCTTCCTTACCTTTGATCAATGATAAACCAAGAGATCTTTATATAAACATACTACAAAATCTTTACATAAACATATAAATATACTAGAATGTTAACTGGATTAAATTGATCTCAAACATTAACCAAAAATTGATCCAAGATCCAAAAGAGAATGACACATTTTGATTACATGATCAAGATAATGTTATATTTTGTTCCACACATACTAAGCTATCAATTAAGACAGGACAAAATAAACAGAGCAAGAAGAAGAATACATAATTAACTTTGATAATTCTTTAAAAAAAACTATGTTAGATAATGAAAGCTGAGCTAAAGCTGAATTAAACTGAAAAAACAGATTTAGTTTCTATTTTACATATAATGAAGGATGAAATAAAGACTAAGAAAAAAGGATTGCGTAACTACCGTTGAATCGTAGGAAAGAAAAAGAAAAAGAATAATGGGATCAAGAAGAAGAAGACAGACGAGAAAGACAAAAATGTTACAATCACACACACATGCAGCTTATTCTGTGCCCATTCTCTTTTGTTTCTTTCTTCTTTTCCTTTGTGTTTGTGCATTTGTTTTGTTATTCAAAATGTCAGCAAGAGATAGAAAACAAATACATAAGGGTTTAGTTTAGTTACCTTGAGATTTGATTGTGATGAAGGAACTTGAAGCTTTGGTTTCTTATTTGCCATAGAAGACCCAATCATCTCTGAGCTATTACCCTTCATCACACATGGACACACACACAAAATTAGAAATATTCATTGATAAAAATAAAAAAAATGGAGACATTAACTAATCTTTGGTAAAGATTATATCTTGATCTGACTAGTTAACTTAATCTCGACCAACCTCGGACAAGTGAAGACCATTGTGATGAATGTTATTGTTCTTGTCTTCATTGGTGTTGTGAATTGTAACACAAGACTTGTTTAGAGGTGAGTTCGGTGAGGACATTATTCCATAACCATTAATCTCTTGTTTCATGAAAGATTGGTTCCTCAAATGTTCTTCCCAATTCTGTATCTTCTTCTCTTGGTAACTATGATGTTGATTTTGATGATGGTTCATCATCTCCATTTTTTCTTCCTCTCCCATCATCAATCCACCCCTTCATTCAAAGACATAATACAATATTAGATCGTGTATATGCAATAATATAAGTGTATTATGTATACATGAAAAGAAAAACAAAGGAGAAACTTCATAAGACGACCGAACTAGATTATACAAAACAAATCCAAGAACTCAAAACCATTTACTTAGAAAACATCCTAACGAGAGAGACAGAGAGAGAAAGGGAGGTACACGAGGAGTTGACTAAGGTTCCATGGCTGGTCAAGAGGCAGATCACTCATTTCAAGCCAAGAAGACAAGTTAGGGTTACTATTAGGAGGAGGCAAAGAAGGTGAAGAAGAAGATGAAGAGGACGTCGGAGAAGAAAAATAGTTTGGCAAGAGACTTGGAAGATAAGCGGTGGTAGACGGTGGCTGGTGACTCATAACCGGCGGTGGTGGCCTCAAACCGCCGCTGACGTTGTTCCACCAGTTAGGGTTTCCAGCCGCCGTGAGTTGTTGTACCGGCGAACTCTCCAACACTCCTCTATTCATCGCCTCTCTCTCTTTAGTTTCTAGTAAAAGATTTTGAGATTTGTTGCTTCTTTATTATGCTTTTTAGTTTAACACTAGTATTTGGAGAAAAGGAAAGAGGAAGAGAGACGAACAAATTGTGCAAAATAGATATGTAGAGATGTCAATGATGTATTTATCACCATTTTCTCTGTCTCTCTCCCTCTCTAGTCTCTATCTTTTAAAAAATTATATTAAATGTCCATATTCGATTAACTTATTATTCTTGATGAAGGGACGACAAATAATCATCAAACAGATAAACCTTTATAAAAAAAAAATAACAGAGAAACTAATTAAGTTTGTAACTTTAAGTAAAACCATGTATTTACAAGTTTATTAATAAAATAGCAATTATCAGGAAAAAAATACTAAATTTAGAAAGAAATTTTATGAAAATTCGTTTTTGTATTTTTAACAGAAAAAAAAAAACATTTTTGTATACTTCCTGTTTTCATGCTTTAGCTTTATCGTAAAGTAGGGAAGCGAAAGGTGCTTTTGTTATTTCATCGAATTATGGGTCTTTTTAAGAAAATCATTTTTTATGGAATCAAGAATGCTATAATTTTAAAATAGAAACATGAAAAGATGGCTATTCGAATTCTTTTATATACGGTGTATAATATATTCGAATATACATAACATATTTTTGATATTTTCCGCATATATATTACACAAGTGTCCTTAGCATCTATACATATGTTGTACATCAAAGTATCGATTAAAACCTTTCACTTTATGTCACATAAAGAACTATGTTTAAGATGTTTCAGGAAAAAATAAAGAGCTTATTTATATTAAGGTAGTACCAATAATTTAATTTTATTCATGTATAATTTTCTACATCAAACCAATGATATGTAGATATATAACTAAGTACGACAGTACTAAGAGCATCTCCAACCCATCTCTATTTTTTCCTCTAAACTCTATTTTATAGCAAATTTTGCTCCAACCCACCTCTATATCCACCTCTATTATAGAAATTACTATTTTTATCTCTATATATAGAGGAACTCTATTTTTTCCTCTATAAATAGAGGTGAACTATTTTCTTGCAAAATAGTCCTTTTAATCTCAAACTTCTTTTATTTATGACCAAAATAAATAAAATAAATATATTTAATCACTAATAATAATATAAAATATTTTAAAGGTTTTAATATAAATATATATTTTAAAATTTGAGACTACCATTTGTAAAAGTTAATATATATAAATAATAGATTTTATTTTTATTGAAGGAAAAAATATTTTATTCTTTCATTTATTCCATAATAATACTTTTAATACCAAAAAATTACTTAATATTCTCCTAAATTACTTCCGGATCCACCAATGTCGTTAAAGTATTGTCCAAACGATCCAAACGAAGTAGATGGAGGAGGAGCTTGTTGGTTTTGTTGTTGATCATTCCGCTTTTGTATAATTTGTGCTTGTTCCGCCTCAAAATATCCACGAACATTTGGATGTAAGGTATTCAAGTCACAAAATAAAATTTTGTTTTCTTCCTTCTGCTCTTTCAAAGCATAATTTTTACTTTAACGTTTAGGACGGGCAACACCATCTTTAAACTTTTCAAAGTTCTTAACAATATTCCAAACATGCTCAAATTTCCAACCAGGCACTAATAATGATATCAATGTGCTGGAGTCTTCTCACCTTTTCTCAAATCTTGCTCAAGGTATTGCTCCTCCTGTTCATTATATTATTCAAGGAAAAGAATATAATATGGGTTATTACTTGGCTGATGGAATATATCCAAAATGGTCTACCATAGTGCAAACTATTCATGAGCCAAGAGGTCAAAAAAATAAATATTTTGCAACACAACAAGAAGCATGCAGGAAAGATGTGGAACGCGCATTCGGAGTACTACAATCTCGTTTTGCTATTTTGAAAGGACCAGCACGTTTTTGGAAAAAAAATGTGTTACATGACATAATGACTACATGTATAATTTTACATAATATGATAATTGAGGATGAGCGTGATCTCGATGCACCAATTGAAGTTGAAAGAGAAGTTCCACCTCCAGCGGTCCAAATAGCAGAAGATGATGATATTCGTTTCCAAGAGTTTCTAGGTCGATTCAGAAAAATAAAAGATAAAGAAGCTCATTTCTCACTTCGAAATGCATTAATTGATCATTTGTGAGAAAAATACACTTATGCTGATGGTTAATAATGTAGTATCTTATTGTTTTTTTATATAATGTGATGTATTTTTTAATTAAACATAATATATAATATAATGTTTTTATAATAAATATTTAATTTAAATAAAAATAATTGTTTTATTAAAATTTTATAAAAGTTAAAGTAAATGGGTTAATATGCAACTTTTATGAAGAGATGGTGTTAATATTAAAATTTTAAAAGAATCTATTTGGAATATTCTATTATAGAAAAAAAAATAGGCGAAACCATTGGAGCAAAAGTCACCATTGGAACTCTATAATAGAGGAAAAAATAGCAAAAACCATTGGATATGGTCTAAATAAAAAGTTTTTCTTTGTTGGTGGTGGCTTAAATGGATCGACGTGTGTTGTGCTTAGGGTTTGTATACGTATGCATCCACTAAAAAGGTACAAAGCTACTAATTACGTTAAAATGAGTCGAAAGTTTTATCTAAGTCTTCTTCATTACATCGGATCATCGAGTTGTAAGTTGTTCATAAGCGTTTTACAAACATTTACAAACATATCTTACTTACTGATCCTTAATTTTTTTTCTAAACCAAAAAGAAAATGTAATTTAAATAATGCCTGTGTGTTTAACAAAAAAAAGGAAAAAAATATAATGTCTGTACATGTGTAGATCATTCAGTATGCATGTGATTAACTTACAAACATTTAACATATATTATAAACTGGTATAGTTAACTGTCTAATTGATTGTGTCAGTCTGTTAGATATACATAAAAAGATTGTGAAATAAAAAACATAAGTTTTGTTAACATGTTCATAGGTGTATATATATAGACATTAGTTAAGGTGATGTCAAACAAAACAAAAAGACGACATAATGTATATCAAGGCAAAGTTTCCATTTCAAAGAAAATTGTTTTCAGTGATCACCATAGTCCATACATAGATAAGATAATTAAGTTGCTTAATAATTTGTATCTTTGCTTCATCCTTTTTGTTATTTTTAATGGCTAGCTACCTCTTTGAACTTCATGTAACATAAAAAATTTTATTTTTGGGGTATATTAATAATTATTGAAATAAAACGGGCTCATGAACGAAAACAGTGGAAACTTTTTTAAAAAGGTACCTATATTATTATGAACCTTTGGTTTAAATCGAGGAAAATATTTAAATCCAAAAAATAGTATATGTACTTATAAATATATATTTTTTCCGCCACTCACACATAATATGATTAAAGCATGATTTCATGGTGACGCATTCAATCACACAACCTGAAGGCGAAACGGTGAATTTGTTTTCGTTTAGAAAAAATACGAAAATAGGAAGAATATCTATACTGTAATTTACTGGTTTTTCAATTTTCATTTTTACACCCAAAAAAAACCACATTTTTCGAAGGAGTCAATTTCTAGGGTTTGGAGATCCCTCTGTCTCTCCAAAGAATGACTACAATTTCCAAGAAATACGACATTGATTATAAAAAGAACTCTTTTAGCAATATAGTAGGAGTACTAGCTAGTATTACACTATACTCTTGGTAAAACTAAATGATTCTTTCTAACCAAAATAAAATAAAATAAATCAACATTAATTAAAACTGTTCAAATGGTAATTACACATTTTGAAAGAAAAGAAAGTATAAAACTAGATGTCGGTAGCCATTATCAAATATGAGTAATACTCTCTCTGTTTCTAAAAAGTTGATGTTCTAAGATTTTCACACTTATTAAAAAAAAGTAAAATTTTTATTAATTAATTAATTTATAATTATTTGTGGGTAGAAAGAGAAAATATAAACCATTAACAACATGACACGTGGAGAAAGGTAAAAAATAAAGTAATCATTTTAAAATAAAAAAATTCTCAAAACATCAATTAATTAGAAATAGAGGGAGTACTTTATATCAATATCGCGTTACTCACAATATAGTTTGCTTTGGAATGTAAAAATCAATGAATATTAAATTAATTAGTATTTTTTTAAAAAGAGGTTTTATAACTTGGAAGGGCCAAGGGGAATGATGAAGAATGAAGCATGCTTTGTCCGTACAGTCCAAAATCTTTGTCGGAGACGATGTGTCGTTTCTTCTCTCAAATTATATTCTCTTCCTAATGTTATGTTTTCAATCCCATTGTACAATATGTTAACTTAATATTATTATACATAGATATTATTGTTGTTTTCTCTTTTTAGCATTTTAGTATGTATTGTTTTTAACATTAGTTACAGCAAGCAATTGTGTTTTTTTTTTTCTTTTTTTTTTTTAACATAGCAAATAAAATGTTTTTTCTCTTACTAGATTTGGAGATTGAGACTTGTCAATCTAACTGATTCTGATTCTAAAAACCTGTCTTACACGCACTGATCGGAGAATTTTATTGTTTTCATATAAAAGACTAGTATATACATCTTTAACTAAAAAAAATGTATTCATGAAATTTTAATTGGATATATGATATAGTCATACACTTTTAGGTGCTTTCAAAAAATAATATGATAGTTATTGGTTATATACACTATTTCACACAAAATAATTTATTTTCTTCGGACAAAAATCATCAAAAACAATATACAAAAAAATTAAAAAATTGTGGAGAGTAGCAAAACAGAAAAATGTGAGAGCTTATAAAGTAGTAACTTTATTATATTGGGCCTTTTAAAGCAGTGAAACATGGTATTGTAGAATTAAACAAATTTAGTCCACAGATTCTATATATTGAATATTTGGAAAAATATCAAAATTACCGGACATACGGCTAATTAAAGCATATAAATGGGACATATAATAATCCAGATGGAGTAAGACTGTAAGAACATATTATCCATATCTGTAAAATGTCAAAATATTTTCAAGTATGAAACTCAAACGCTATTTGTCAAAATGATTGAATTACTTAAGAGTTTTTTTCATGTTTGTGGAATATCTGTATGTATATTTTGATTTTTATATTCTTTCTTAATGTAAATTTAGTAC